ATATTGACTCTCCGGCTAGTATAGGGTGTCATTATCTAGTCAATCTTCTAAAGATTACCTATGTCTCTCCGGTGCTCAGAACCCTCTGCACATAAATAAGACACCAAGCTCTGTTTTCTCTGGACAAAGCGCTGCTGTTATACCCAGCATAAATTTTTTCAAAGTTGTTGTAGTTGAAATTAATGTGCTTGAGCTGCACATTGGGTTATTGGCGATTGTCTGGGAAGCATCCCTGAGGATGATCCGAAGACATGCTATCACAAGTTAGATCCTAAGCAGAAGAGACGGCACCCCCACATCGGGCCCGGCAACCTGGGCATGAAGCTTTTATTTATTTATTTTTTAAATTGGCCTTCTGTGCTCCTTTTTACTTGCTTTAGCCACCCTACGGATGATTCTCGCCGTCATCCGCGATGAGGATCAGGAGTGGATGGTAGGAAAAGACTTCGAAGAATCTTTGGGACTTCATTACGAAGAATAGCCTTCCGAAATCGTCCACCAGTGGAATGAAAATTCAAAAAATTTAGAATCATAGAACTTTTGTTTCACTCCGAGAAATGAGACTGTCAGTGAACAGCGGAATTTGACTCGTTGTCGGTCCTAAGCGTTTTTCGTAAGTGAGAGACCACGTAATAGAAACTAAAGTCTCCATTCCAGTGCTGCTTGAGCTTTAACGTTAATTTAGAACCAGGTAATTTATTTGTTGCGCAAAGTGAATCGTGGAACAGAGAGAAGTAGTATAGTGCTTCTATTTGTCGATTAGCAGCGTGCTTATTTTACTTGATCATTTATTGCAAAGTATGTCTGAGAGTTGTTCTATGGTGAGAGCTGAGATCGAAAGCCTAGTGCCCCACCCACTAAAGAAATGGTGAACACCCTCAACCAGGATTAATTAATAATTACATAGCGCCCGGCGAAGAGCTGAAAATGTCTATACTGACTCTTTTAGACGACACTATATTAGAAACTATGGTCAAATAATCTTTAGCTTGATAAAATTAGCTAACTTTAAGTCAGACATACTCAATAGTGAGTGCAATTGGTCAAATTAGAGGGTGAAAGATGAAAAGATGAGATTGAAGGATGAATTGAAATTATCGATTGAAAAGCTTAGTAGAACAATGCAAATGAAATTTAAAAAATTTGGTATTTGGGTTTCATGATTTGGGTTTTTCTCTACATGAAGAACAAGGTAAATACGCTTAGCAACTGATGGTCAGCAATACACCCTAGAAAATTACTCGTTTAGCATCGAATGCCAAAACGTGAAGGAGAAAATGGATAACTTTAAGCAACTGCTTCCATACATTGAGGAGGAATGTAGATTCGAATTGGAAAAATGGATCCTACATGGGAAGCAATTAATAATAGTCTTGAAAAAATTTAATACAACAAACACAAAACGAGATTAAGAAATGAATATCAAACGTTTTGAAGCGATTCAGTTTTTATTAAACTTTTATTGAAACTATTCATCTTAAGGTTTGAAAATGTAGCAAATGTTTAATATTTCGTTGTCTTTTGCTTTCATTAACGAAGCTTTCTAGAGTGGACTTGGGGAATTTGGCACTTTCCAACTGAAGATCCTGAAGGAGTTCTGCCATTAAAAATTGCTCTCGTGACCTTACTTTTCTTTCGATGAATTCCCGCGGTGTTTTATTGGATTCAGGTCAGATGATTGAATCGGTCATTTCAAAATTCATCATAGCTGCAAACCAACTTTTCACAATTTTGGAGGTGAACTTAGAAGCATTATCCTACTGAAATATCCATTACGGAGGCATCTTTTTATGAGTATAAGGTAGCATGCGAACTTCTAAAATATTTTTATAAACAAATTGATTCATAGTCCCATCAATGTGTACGAGGGGAAGGCGCCATTATGATAAAACCTTCCCAGACCACTATTGGTCTGTTTTCGCGATTCACTGGGGGCCCTTGCTATCGCAGGTCCATTCTGGTGACTTTTGGACGACGAATAAAACGTCGGCCATCACTTCTAAACAAAAGAAATTTTAACTCATCTAAAGGACCTTCCAGTATTTAGTAGCCATTTATTACTAGAGTTGCAGCGAAAAGTGTTTATTTATTTTCATAAGTTTCTGGAAACGATTAAAATACGACATGATTGATAAGAACTTTATGATTTAAATGAGGAGGAAGCTCGTCAAAAATGGTTAAATTGATCGGCAGGAAATCAAGTTAATTGCTCTTTTTGAGAATTATAATAGCTCTCTATGACATTGTAATAGCTATTGACAACTATAAGTCACTGCACCACAGCTGAAGGAGCTATGAAAAATTCAATGAGGGCATAGCGGAAATTTTCAGTCACTGCACCATTGTTGAAGGAGCACTGAAAAGCTGCATGAGGGCATAAAAACAAATTTTCAGTCACTGCACCACTGGTGAAGGGGCACTGAAAAGTTGCATGAGGGTATGAAGTAAATTTTCACCCACTGCACCACTGTTGAAGGAGGGGAAATTTGCTGCACATTAGAAATAATTTAACACGACGAAATGAATCAGCTGTAAGAAAAAAAATCTTTAAAAGTCGTCAGTGAAAGGAAGAATTTAAACAGGGAGAAGGATTTTGATAATTTATTTGAGGTCAAACATAAAAAAGGAGATGACTGTGAGATTTGGAAGACGTAAAACTTTTAAATGGCATTTGCACCAAGAAAATAATGAACTTTCAGAAAAGAAATTATGCACCAAAGGAGTGCACTTTTGGCAAAGATGCGTGAAAATGAAATCCCAAGAGCTATATCCCATACGTAATCGTACAATTATGCAGAAGAAAAGTCAAGCCTGGTGCATAGAAAGAAATCAATGAAGTTTTACGTTCGCTTGCTTGCTGACATAAAAATGCTAGGGTGAAATCAGGGAACATTCACACAGAGTGTGAAGGCCTTAACATAGAAAAATCACGTTAAAAATGCTCTATTACAGTCACGGAATAGAAGGAAGTCAGTAAGAGAAGTTGTTAGATTTCAAAATTGTCTCTTCAAAAGTCTTACAAGAACATGCATCGAGGAATGAAAATCAGAAAGTCCAGGTTTTGTCCCTAGGCTGAATAGCGGCCAAAAATATAGATTCAATCGGACTAATTTATATACATATCATAAGTGGTGATCGAAATGGTCTACAGGTGACGTAGAGCAGAACTCTCTACTTATGGCATCACTCCGCGTGCTTTCACCGTTATTGTGTAGAGAGTCATAGAAGAAAGGAGTACATTAGTTTCTGTCTTAAGTTTCAAATAGTTAACTTTTAGTTGCCTTCTGTTTCAACTTAGGATTCTTATAGATAGATCTCTTCCAGGCTATGAGGAATTCTAGCTTTGGTTGTTTAAAGTGGTAGGATGTAATAAGTGGACATTCTATAGCATAGTGCCGCACTGTTCCTGCTCCTCCACAGGCACATGTGTTGTCAGTAGCCAGGCAGAAGCGCTTTAAAGGGGCCACAATCTGTAAAGAAGAAGATTAGCAGCCTATTATATTCTACTAGTTTGAATGAGACATCTGATAAAATTTCTCTGATTAATATTCCCGATTCCGAACACAATATTATCCCATGACTTTTGTCACTTCAGTGAATTTAGAATCCTTGTCAAAAATTATATTAAAAAATCTCTCACATAAGGGATACCAAAGAAACAAAACCGTAAACGAATTTTGACAAATCACAACTAGGAAAGTGGAATGAGAAAAGTTCGAACTAGTTTGATTTCCAAATGGAAGTTAGGGACGTTTCTGTAGCACTTCTCAAAAAGTTTGTTTCATTCGTTTGTTCTTTTTTTTTCGCTGAATTTAAAAACATTAGATTATCCTAAACAGTAAATGTACGTGATATAGACATTCCTGTAGGAATGATATGGACATTCCAATAGGAATGATATGGACATTCCTGTAGGAATGATATGGACATTCCTATACATGTAAGGAAATACCATTTTGTTAAAAGATACCTCAACACGCAAACTCGTTACCTCAGTTCTGTCTGTACCCTGCATTCTGCCCTGATCTGACTTTTCAGCCATTGTTTCATCTGTTTCCCCAATTTCTCTAAGATTTTTTTCTTCATCAATTTTTATTAAATTATTTTACAGGTTACTGTGCCCTTTCGTATTTCTGATCAGTCCTCCTTTCTAAACTTTTTTTTCATTTTTAAACAAAAACATAAACATTAAAATTATATTCAAGAATATTTTACAGGCGCATTAAGTATTTAAGAACAAAAGCAGAAACGTTAATTAAATTCAAATAAGATTGAATTCATTCCGGCGCTAATTGGAAAATGTAAATGTCTGACTCAGTTGTTAGAACGTTCGCCCAGAAAGTTGTTAAACGATTTTGATGAGAGTTTTTTTTTTTTTGTTTTTTTTTGCATTCAATGAAGAAACAATAAAATTTATTGTGAGGATTTAATTATGCCAAACAATATTTTTGCAGCAATTTTAATGTGATATCAACATTTATTACTGATATAAAAAAGTAAAAAGAAATAATAATGAAAACAAAATTTAATCGCATAACAAAATTTCATTATCAACAACAAGAAAAATCGATTTACAACTTTTTGAGATGTTTATGCAAGAAATTCCCCATAGATTTAATACAATGGACGAAAATCATAATCAACATTTTTATGCTGTTAAAACACTTTTTAAGCCAAATGAAAGCAGATGAAATGCTCTCTCTCTCTCTCTCTCTCTCTCTCTCTCTCTCTCTCTTTTTTTTTTTTCTTTTTTTTTAGTGAGTCTTGCTCAGTAGACTGTAGATCGTCTAACTTTTCTAATCTTTGACTTTTAGTAAACGCTGTCAGCAAATTTGTGATTACATATTATACATCGTCCCTCAATTATTTTATCTTTTATAAGTTTTAAGTGAAATACTTTAGAATCTACTAAATAATATTTTTTTTTAATTAAATGCTGTCTAAAAGTTAAATTTATCTATTCTAAAATCCTTTTTCAGTTTTCATAAACAAAAACAATATACATAAAACGAATCCTTTATTTCTATATTACATATTTACATACGAGTATCAAACAAGTCAAACGAGACTGAGATGTTTATTTCATAGGAAATGCGGGCGTCTTAGATTGTGATAGCATCAGGCTGTAACCATGGAGGCAGTATCTGGAGGTAGGATCACATCGAGTGCCGTATGGGCAACAATGAACCATATCTGCGCAACACATTGCTGAGGGGTATGGGCAGCATGAGTATGCTCCGTTTGGTAGCGGACAGCATGTCGATCCGACTTGACAGTAGTAGTATCCACCTGGACAGTACACTACGCTATTCTGGGCATCAGTATCCTCCGAAGTCACTTCAGGGATCACTGTAAAAATAAAATGGATTATAATAGAATTTACATTTTAATCAAGGCTCTTGTCATGCCACTTTTGAATTATACATTTCATTGCATTTAATTTCAATGAACGCTTAAATGTATCTTTAATTTAATTAGTTTTCTCTAATTCCTTTCTCAATAAATGCAAAAAAGAAACATTATTATTCAAGATTGACTCACAATAAGTTGATGTCAATCTTCCTCTTGCTTATTTTGAATCTTCTTTTTTTTTTTACATGAAATGAAATGCCTTTTAATAGTAATGAATTAACATCAACATAAAATACGTTCTATTGTATGTTTTCTTCATTTTTGCCACGTCTTTCAAAGTTTTAGTTTGCTGAATAGACAAATTTGTCCTCATTGTGTTGGTGCTGTTTGCTTGGCTCTCAATGAAACTTCATTTTCGATAAATCGCCAAAAGTGGATCTCCGGCTCTATTCCGAGGCAACTGTTAATTTTTCAATTTTTATCTGAACTCACACCTGTTGGGATTTGTCCGTACTTATCCGTCTACCTGCTACCTATCTGGTTACCCGTTAAAAATTAGCATTTTACTAGTTTTCTTTATAATCATATCTTCATTGCTGAAAAACTATCTTGAGACCTGGTGTTTAAAAATCTTCTTTTTCCCTACTATCTGATCGTGACATTTATAAGCTTTTGTTTTCTGCACTTGTTGTGATTATTGTAAGGATAATGCTTACATTTCACCCATTGCTAACACAAAGAGTGCAATAAACCAGAATGATTAATAAAACGCAGCTTCTATTATTTAAAAATGAAATTTTTATTTAATCTTTAAACAGGACTGTGTTAGTTGTGTATAGAACAACACATTCGGTTCAAAAATGCCTCGACTCACTCTCTTTAAATAAAAAATTTTATTACGATGTTTGCAACTAAATATCTGTACTGTCTATACTCCTTGTAAATTAAATTGGCATTTTAAAGGTTACATAATATCCCCGCTCTTCACTCTAACCACGGTTTCGTCAAATCTTGGTTTTTCCTCTCTCCAGTATATTCCAATTTATTATTGAAGTGTAAAAGACAAAAGAAGATTAACTGAAACCCTGGTAACAGAGAGGGGGAAATTAGGAGAGTTTAGAAATCGAGTAATCTTGAGGCGCCTTCTATAATTCCAAAAAGTATGATTTCAACTTTTCAGATTTCCTAAATTGAGAGTTTGTTGATATAAAGTTTTGATTTAAAAAAAAATTAGAAAATAAGAAATCTTTTATCGTTAAATAATATGATTCAAGTATTCACTGATTGCTAAAATGTTTAGAGAAAAAATAGCGCATTTATATTTACCTAGCAGAAAATACTGTACTATAATATACTAACTTTTGTTTAAATTTAATATTAAACAAACAGATTTTTAATTAGTTTCTAATTTCAAATTTTGTATTAGTTCTTGATAAAAAATAGAATGCTCTTTGAGATATTTAGTTCGTAGATTTAGACCTGTATAGTTTTTAAAACCAACAGTGATCTACTAAAAGTTACTGAAATAATACTAACATAATATTTTTCGTTACATATTTTTTAATTCATTTAAATATTTTTCAAAATAAGCTCTGTTTTTCACAAGTTCAAGAAAGAATATTAAAAGTTATAAAAAAATATTAGAAAATTTCTCTATTCATCTGAAACAACCTCTATATAATATCATAGATAGATGCAGTTTTAAATCTAATTCAACATTAAAAAATAAAAAAAAATTTAAAAAAAGAAACTTCAATTTTCAACTCTTAACTTACCTTCAGTGCAGGATCCAGAACAGAAGAGAGCACAAACCGATAGCACAAATAAATAGTACATATTCAGACCTGAAAAAAAAACATTTTTTATTTTTTAAGGATCATTAGCGATTCATTTTTATTTTCATTTTTCGCTATTGTACGTGATTAATTTTTTTCAATTATAGTGAAGCTATATCAATAGTATAATAAAAAAGAAAAAAAAACCAAAAGTACAATGATAATTATTTAATATTTCAGAAAAATTATAACTGCAGAATGCAAAAAGATTATCCTCTAATTGTTGTATTCTAAAACGAAATTACATCAAACAAAATAATTTTATTCTAATTGTTGTATTTTAAACAAAAATGTGAGAACCACAACGATTATTCTCTATTTGTTGTATTCTAAAAAATTACTGCGGGAAACAAAATGAATATCCTCTAATTGTTGTATTCTAAAAAATAACCGGGATAAACAAAACAATCATCATCTAATTGTTGTATTCTAAACATAACTGTAAAAAAAAATTATCTCCTAATTGTCGTATTCTAAAAAATTAACAGTGGGAAACCAAACAGTTATACTCTTATTGTTGCATTCTAAAAAATAACTGTGGGAAACAAGACGATTAGACTCGAATTGTTGTATTCTAAAAACTAACTAATTTATTATTTCCTTAAAAGAAAAAGAAAAATGCAAAATTCATCTACATTTACTGTGAATTGTTAAAAATTAACCCTTAAATTTTGCTTAACTTTCAAACTATTTCTATGAAAATTTTTGTCCCTAGAAATCATAGTAACTAAAAGAAATTTAACTTGGAAACTGATCCAAAACTGCAGTAGTTATGATAAAAAATAAAAAAAATTTTAATTATAAAAGAATTAAAAATCGCGTCTTTAATTATGATCGTTCATTTTTTTAAAAGAGATTAGCAAAAGTTTTTCCTTCATTTTCTTCAGAAAATCTAAACTTTAGTTTACAGATGAAACTGCAGTACTACGTTAAGAAATATTAGTTAAGAAATATTACTGCAGTTAAGAAATATTACTTCCTTAATTTAAGTTTCAATCGAGGTTTCAATTTTAATTGCAAAATGTTTTTTATTTTTTATTTACATCGAACAAATTCATAACAATTATACTACATTTGTTACGCATACAGAAAATGCTATTTTTATATGCAATAATCAAAATTCCATATAAAGTATCATTAAACTAAGAAAATTTTTATTAAATATAGAAATAGCCATACATTATGGTTTTCGGTAATATTTTTTCAAAGATGTTTTATAAAAAAATCACTAGGATTGAATGATAAAATTAAATGCATAAATCAAAAAAACATATTCAATAATCAACACACCACCTCGTAATGAACTTAAGGATTTTGTTGAGTTTGAGAATAACAATAGAAATATTTGATCAAATAGGCATTAAAAATTACTTATAATAATACCCGTAGGTAGTTAAAAGCAATAAATAATAATCATGGAGTTCTGAATAGATTCTTCTTTTGATAGTTTGCATTCAAAGTTTTTATTTTTATTTTCATTGGGATCTTATCTTGTCCTATTTCTTTTACAAAAACTTCAGTGCAACAGATAAGGCTTTATAAAGTCAATCTCAAAACAATGATATTGGAGTAATAAGCGACAATCAAGAATTCGGTAGTTTTTGATAAGGTTTAATGTTTGCAAAATTGTTATTTCAGAAGATTAATGAGTACAATGATAAAATGAGTAGGAATAAATAAACAGCTTAAAAAAACATAAATAGTGATTCTAGGGGAATAGAGGCAGGACAACATTAATGCCATATCTTTCCTAGTTAGTATTCATATCATACTGTGCGATACATATCAGTGTATGATGCCTACCTTTTCTATAATATAAAACACTATTGTGTATATTGTTTAAAATATCCGATGAAATTTCTTTTTTTTTGTATTGGCAACAAAGAACTGAAAACTGGCATATATGAGGCAAATGAATAAGTCCTAAGCACGAACGCTGAACAGACGCGTTTACAAATTTCTCAATGAAAATTCTAATCTCACATGGACGATTTAAAGTTTAAACAGTGAAATTATAAATTAGACTGAATTAAGAACTATAAATTAGACAGAAATGAAAGATTAAAAAGTGGTGACCCCTTGGTATGATATCTATCTGGGAGCATATATAATTTTATTACATATATAATTGAAGAGTACAGGTTGTGGTTCTTAATATTTTTATCAAATGACGCTGATCGGTTAACGAGTTTTGCAGTCGTATATCTTACTTTAGTTAAGTTGCGCAAATTGTTGATAATGACAGTATTATACTTAGTTATCCTTGTGCTGTTTAGTCAGTATTCTATAGTTTACAAATTTTATATCATTAGTCAGAACAAAGAAAAGGGCCACATGGTTTGTAATAAATTACTAAGTTTCTATGTTTAAACGACTTGAATTCTATGCAGATAAAATAGGCCTCCAATGCAACCTCAAAATGTAGTAAAATCTATGTAATAAAAGTATTAAGACTAGCGGAAAGCGTTTAATTTGAAAAACTGAAGTTACATATAAAATTAAATATTAATATGGCTTACCTTAGAAAGATATTGTTGCAGTTATGCTTTTCCAAAACAGTGTCAAAAATTAATTTGATAATTTTTCCCATTCTGTCAACACTTATATACAATTCATAATAGAAATATTGCTTACATTATGGTCAATAATACTTTTAGTTGCACATTGGAAAGTACATACATCGTTATCATTGAGCTGATAACATTTCTAATTTGTAAGGAAACGCTTAAAAGTTTGTAGAAGAAAAAATATTATTTTTTGATTCATATTTTCCACTGATTATTTTTACTGATTCATATTTTCAATTTTTCGTACAGTTCGTATTGTTTACTAGGAATACAGTAGTTTACTCTGAAAAATATTTCATAGTAGATCTAGTTTATTAAACTAAATTGCTCATTATACCAGTTTACTAAGAATGTACAATTATACTAGTTTACTAAGAATGCTTACTATAAAGCATGTTTTACAGTGAATCTAGCTGATTATACAGGATATTTTATTGCATATTTCGCATTGTTTACTAAGAATATTGTAGCTTACTACAAAAGATATTTTATGGAGAATCTAGCTGATAAAGCAGGATAATTTATTGTACAGTTCTTATTTTTTATTAAGAATATAGTAGCTTACTATAAAAGATATTTTATAGTAGATCTACTTCATTAAACAAAAGACTTTATAGTATAATTCGTATTGCTCATTGAGCAAGATATTGTAGATTATTATATGAAATATTTTGCAGTCAACTGTGTTCACTAAACAAGATAATTTGTTATACTTTTCTAACTGCATGTTCTCCTGAGCTTTAAATAACGGCCGAAGAGACGATTTTTACCTAGGAATATGCAAGTTAGAAGAAAATAAAATTATAAAGCAAAGTCAAAAATATTGTTTTTAAATTATTATTTTTCAATTAATTATTTTTTAGTTATTTTTAAGTATTATTTACATAATATTTTTAGAGTATGTATCTTCACCTTTCAGCCGCAAAATAAAATCTACTGAACTCACATTATAAGATATTTATATGCCATAAAACTGCCCGAAAGATTTCTTGTATCTAATTTCTTAACTTTCTTATAATTTTAAATTGAAATTAAAACCATTGACAAAGAGGTTTTATCGAAATATATTTTATGTAAACAATCGTTTTGTAAAAGCATACGAATTATAAACAAAAAAAAATAAATCCTATAAGTATGATTTATTAATCAGCATGTTTTAAACCCATTTAGCTTATTGAGCCTTATATTTTGCAGTGCAATTTGCCTAATTAAGAAAACAAATTCAAAGTTAAGTATGATTATTAAACAAAATATGCAATAGTTCAATGTATATACAGGACATGCTATATGCAGCTTACTAAGCGCAATCTATATATATATTTCTCTTACACGGCACCAAAAAAAAAAAGCCTCATTAAAACTCCCCGAATGGCAACGTTAGAAAATCGGCCAATGATTGCTGCTAAAAATGTCACATGGCAAATGTCACATGAGGTGGCTCAACATATAGCGCTTTTAAAAACGGAAACAATAACCAGAGTGAGCATTATCAGGTTGTTCAATTCAGATTCATGCCCTAAAAACATGATAATATTTAATTTAAACTCAATTAGGAATTAATTAGGCTGGCCTTCTCCATGACTATAAATAAGTCACAAGGTCAGACTTTTGAGAAAATCAGTTTAGTATTGACTAAACAAGTTTTTAGTCATGGACAACTTTATGTTGGCCTGTCAAGAGTTAAGTCATTTGACAGCCTTTCAGTAATTGCTCCAAGATGCCAAATCTATAATTGTGTTTTCAAAGAAATTCTAAATGCTTAGTGTTAATTTCTTAGAGCTTTGCAGAAAAAAATGTTTTTTGGAAAAAATTTAATTGAAACTTCTATTGGCAGTAGGCAAGGGGAACTGCCAAAATCAAAACTCCCCGATTAGAAATGCAGCATGGCGACCTCCACGTGGTATTTCTCGGGTAATGCTAACAGCCATGCATTTTAATTTATTGTATGTAAAACATCCTTATTTTGTTCTAAAATGTTATGTACTTTATCACAAATGTTAATTAATATAGAAATTGATTTCAATAATGCTGATCACCAAAAAATATTTCATTTGGCGATAAAACAAATTTTTGTGTTCTTGAAAATGAAAGACTTTTTGAGGGTTATTATCTCACAAGGAAAAGTTAGGGTTTAAAGTTTATATTTTTAAATAATAAAATTTTTTTCTAAAACTTTCAGAATTTCTAGCATTAACTAATTTATTATACACATTTAGTTGAATTTAGGTGAGTAACTGCAATATTTGATAATTTATTTTGCTAATATGTTTCTCATTTAGCTAATGTTTTGATTTTTTCACCATGTACAATCTAAATAGCTAATATACTTTTTTAAAAGCCAATAAGAACATTGATAGAATTCTTCTACATAAGTACAATACTATGTCTTTGATGATAAAATACTATGTCTTTGATGATAATATACTATGTCTTTGTGCTAGAACATTGTGTTCATTGGCGAGCGAGCGCAGCGAGCCATGGTTCACGGCGTGAACCACATAGGATTGCGTAGCAATTCTCGGGGGTTGACGAGCGTTAGCGAGTAGGGGGCAGAGCCTCCTAGTATTTTATAATTCATTAAGCTCATTAGGAAGGATCTTCATAAGTGCAAGTGCATATAGGAATCACCAAATAAGAAGTTTTATTTTGTTTTCCAATTTTTTTATAAGGGGGAAAGGGGGTAGCAGTGGTGATTTAAATGACAATTAGGCGTCTTAAAAGAATGCATATATTACTTCATTTTTTAAAACATGTAACTAATTTAAATTTTTTTTCATGCTATATGTGCAAGATGTTCCGTTATAACTGATCTTAAAACATATATTTTAAAATCCTAATGCTTATTGGCATGATCGCCCGATGTCTAGAGCATTTCTCCATGTCGTTCTCCTGATTGCCAGTTCCTGGCAGAAGATATTCAGAAATACTTCTTAAAAACTATAAGTAATAGAACACTAAACGCAAACAAATATGAAAGCGAATGAAAAAAGAAGCAATATCAAAACTTTACGGATGATTGTCAAGTTCAGTCACAGCAAAGGAGATGTTAAAATCATTAAAAGGAAAGTTATCAGTTATTAATATTAATCAGAATTAATTTAAAAATTGATTTTGCTACATTATTAATGCAATGAAATTTATGAATTTTATTCAAATATCTAAATATTATTTCCGTTATAAATTCAAAAAAAAAAATCGTAGCTTGGATATGGATACTTTAGTTTTCATATAGAACTAAATTTGTATTAAAATGTATTAGTTCCAACAGAAATGACGTTTATATTATTATATTTATTTTATTAAGGTTTTTAGTACAAACTAAATGACTTACTTTGCAATAAAAATTTTATTTTTTTAAAGCAAATAAAAAATTAAACATGAGATCAAAAACAATTAAATAGCGCTTGGGCTGTTTTTGCAGAAAAAACTTAAACGTACACTTTACTATGCATTAACTTATTCCTTTCAAATATCAAATATAAAAATCGCATGAAAATTTATTCATAAATTTCTGAGACATGTTTGTCAGAATTTAATGTTTTCAATTTAATTACCTTATAGCAATGTAAATAAATTACATCCAACAGGTATCACAAACAGGTATCTTAAAAAGTTTCTCCCATTGTCTTTTAATTTTAAAAAATAACTATAAATTATAAATATATATAGTGAAAAATATATTTATCTCAACAAATAAGAAATAAAAATTAATTATGTTTTTTCCTATACATTAACTTCAAATTATCCTGTACAATGTTAGAACTTTCATTCTACAATTTTGGTAAAATAACCGGCAGCAGTCTCTCCATACAATTAACAGTTAAGTTTATGGTACAGAACATTTTTTCCATTTGCGGTTTCAAAATAATTTACAGCTAGTGTGGTTAAAAAACCAAAAATACAAAACTGTACAGTTTTTTGACCATTTATAGATATAACGGTTTCAAAACAGTAAAAAAAAATGTACTTTGAATTGGAGATATTTTAGCAGTTTCATGGTGCAGCGATCTACTCGTGAATCAGAGTATCATATTCTAATAATCCAGGTTCACAAATTGGTGAGTGTAGGACACTGGAAATTCTTCATGTGTTGAAGAGAAGGGAATGGAGGAAATATTGTGGTGTCAACGTTGACAGATTAGCCCTAATATGCACCTATCTGCTAGAAACTAAGTGGCTATATTAGGTGGGCCTAGTTGGTGAGATAAAATTCTGGTTGTCTGATCCCTATTAGGTGAAAGCAAATAATAAACTATTTTTCTCATAGTTAACAGTTTGAATACTATCTTATTTATGATCATTTGGCTGCTTTGTTTGAATATGGTAAAATAACAATTAAAATAAATTGTTTCATGACCGTTTTTTTTTTTTCAAGAAATTTAAAACAGTATAGCTTTTCACCATGATATTTTTTCAACTGTAAATACAACTGTCCCTAAAGTCCCGGAATGGTCAAACCTCGAAAATTACTAATCGGTACAAAAAATAACGCAAATGTTTATAGTATAAAACACAACCAATGATACCAAGAGCAACTTTTCAATTAAACCCCCGGAGAAAAGTGTGGGGACTGTTTCGAAATTCAGGCCCTTCTCACAAACTAAATTTCATTTTCTTTAGTTCTGGAATACACATTGAAGATGCACCAACTTCTGTTGAGTAGAGAATTACCTATATTCGCAGTAGGTGAATCTTTTCCATACATTTTAGAGGGGGATAAAAATTTTGCAATTGAAATTATTATCATAATTTTAGGAATCCAGATTATTTTTATTAGTTTATTAATCTAGACTGAAAAGATTAGATTTAAGCTTAAAAAAATTCAGCAAGCTATAAAACCATGTTAAAAATTTGCCGAAAACGTTAAAAAATAAATATTGGAATCAGACATATCTTTCGTTTTCTTAAAACCTTGTATCTTTAAAAAAGTATTGAAAATAATTGCAACCTTTAGAATTTAAAATTTGTTAACTAAAATTAATAATTTTGTTTAATGAATCATTGGAAAATTATGAATTATTTCCAATAATTCATAATTTTGTTTAATGAAACATTGGAAAACATTAAATAAAAATATTCCATAATATTGATTAGTTATTGAAGAAATAAACAAATTGTGATAACATATTTCTTCGCAAGTCAGCATAAGAAAGAAGAATCCCGCTTTTGACGAAAGGGATCTTCAAGCAGAAATTCCAATTTTTATTGCAGACTTGGATTTTTCAGAGAAAAAAAATACATCAAGTTGATACACGGTTTTTTTTTTTTCATTTAACCTCACAGATGAAGCTGTAAAAGACAAAAAATGAAAATGGGATTCAGAATTAAGATGCTTCAAGAAATTAATTTCATAAAAAATAATAATAAATTATTTAATAAAAAATATGTGTGTTAGGTAATTTAAAAAGTATCCTATAATACTAAACTCGACCTCTACTCCTAGAGAAAGGGTGCTATCGATATTGAATAGTTTCCCGATATCGATGAAGGGATGCTTTTGCTATCAAATCCCTTTATAAGCACGGGCTATTGCACGACAAAAAATAAGATCATGTTAAAAATCCAAAAACATGTTAAAAATCAGATTTTCAAGTAATCTCCCACGTAGGTTGAGGGTTTGACTTTGGTATTTTAGGAAGCATTTTTTTATAGTAAGAAACACATGTTTTACTATTATTATTATTCCGGTACAGTGAATTTTTTTTATTTTTTTTATTTGACTTATGGTACATCCTAAATCTAAAAAACACTATGAAAGACAATTGTATGAAATTTGGAATATAGAAATTTTAAATATTAGACTGTTATTTTTCGATTGGAAATTAAGAATTATTGCATAAAATTTGCTCTACAAATTTTATAAAAAAAATAGTAAAGCAAAAAAATATGCAATTTTAGCTTCGGAGATTTTTATTTAAAGTCGAAATAAAGTATGGATAATAGTTACTTTACATAAATAATTTATAATTAAGTTTAATGCATAATTTTAAATTATATCAAAAAATTAAAACATACATTTTTTTAACATTTCGTTTTTTCGTTGATATTTGTTTAAAAAATCTCATAACATTTATGAACATTTTTTTTGTATATTAATGCTATCTATAGTACACAAGCACGGAAAAAAATCTAAAATTAAAACTTATTTTTAAAATTATTTTTTAAAAAATTATACCCCAAGCACTTTTAAAAATCAATTTCTAAATTTTTCAAAATACTGACGAACTTAAAGCAAGAAATTTATTTTGACAAAATTTCTGTGCACAAAACAACCTTTAATTTTTATTCAGTCTATAAACAATGCAAAACCATCTACAAGCAATACTATAGTCGATAAACAACAATAGTCTATAAACAATACAAAACCATCTATTAACAAATTAATTCATAGGAAAAGCAGGTTTCTTCATAAGAGCTTGATAAAGATTATTTCCTCTGAGGCAATGTCTGGAGGTCGAATCACATCGAGTACCGTAAGGACAACAATGTATCATATCAGCACAACACGAAGCAGATTGGTAAGGACAGCATGAGTATGCTCCACTTGGTAGAGGACAGCAAGTAGCTCCGTCCTGACAGTAATAGTAACCTCCTGGACAGTAAATAATGTCGACTTTGTTGGCAATTTTCACCACTTCGGCCTCAATATTGTCCGAAGGAGGATCCTTAATTAACAGTGGGTGTAGTAGACCGTTTTTGGCATCACATCGGCCTTCTTCTAGGTTGCAGACCGTATCATGTGGACAACAATGAAGTCCGTCCGAGCAGCAGACAGCGTTGGGTTGTGGGCAGCAACCGTACTCTCCAGCGACCGTCGTTCCACAGCAAGTCTGAGCTGAAAGCACAAATGAGTTAGTTAGTTATTTAGTGTTTTTGGCGCAAGAGCCAGAAATGGCTATTCCGCGCCATGAACTTGGTCTAAAAAACGAGTGCTTGGTTTAAATAAGAGATAAAATATAAAGGTAAATTTTAAAAGGTAAAATTAAATTGAGGTATAAAATCCAATGTCCTTATGGTATAACAGAAGATTATAGTGTGGTTTATCTCCTATAAGTAAATGTAAAGTAGGATTATTGCAACCAAAATAGCGTTGTCTGAGAAAGAACGAACCCACGAAATTTTGAAAAACATTATGCTTATTTTCATTGTGAATTTATGCATGTGACGTTATTATGACGTCACCAATCACTAAAATTTCTTATAACCTTTCTTATAACCATTGACGAAACGGAAGCTTCGCAAATAAATGATAAGTGAAGCCCCCGAATTTTAAATTAAAAAATTTACCCATTTTTAAATAATATTAAGGTTTGTTTAAACATTGATTTTTGCAAATAATATACACTGGTTATCATAAATTAAGGAAAATTCACAAAAATCGCGATAACTCAAGAAATTACACATGGAATTTTATGAAACTTACCCACAATATACAACACATAGTAAGGTATTAAACAACATAAAAAGAAATTATCAGACATTAATAGTAGTATAGAAATTAGCACATGTATAAAATAAACAAATTGGAAGTATCGGTTTGCAATAGAAAAAGTACCTTTAATATGGAATATGATTGCCTCTAGAAGCAATACAGCACAAACAGCGATGTGTGATGCTTTCAATTATGCGGTCTATCAGTTCAATAGGAAGTGAGAGCCATTGCTCTTGTAAAGCAGTTGCAAGCGTGGCAAGGGTCTGAGGGGGCGGATTGATGGCAGATACACGCCTCCCTAGAGCATCCCAAACGTGCTCGATAGGATTCAAGTCCGGGGATCGAGCTGGCCACTCCATGCGAGTAATTGTTTCCTGTTGAAGATAATCATCAACAATGCGAGCTCTGTGTGGTCTTGCATTATCGTCCTGTAACAGGAAGCAATCACCAATTGCCCCGGCATATGGGCGCACATAAGCATCAAGGATGTTGTCTCGATAAACCTGAGCATTCACGGTTCCCCTTGGAAAGACATGGAGGTATGTGCGCCCTCCTAAGGATATGCCTCCCCAAACACAGACACTGCCTCTTCCGTATGCATCTCTTTCACGGATGTTTGATGGATGATAACGGGTCCCAGGTTCTCTCCATATCAAATAACGTCTACTGTCACTTTCTAGACTAAACCTGGACTCATCCGTAAAGAGAACAGGCCTCCATTGATCTGACGTCCAGTGGACATGTTGTCGGGCCCACTGCAAACGGTCTCTCCTATGGCGTGATGTGAGCGGCACGCAAATGGCTGGTCGTCTCGCATACAGACCACCTTCGTGGAGCCTTCTGCGCACAGTTGACGTTGACACCAACCTTCCGGTGGCTGCAGCAAGAGAGGATCTAAGATGTGTCGGAGTAGCGGTTCTATTCCTGCGTGCACTTAATGTCAAATATCGGTCATCGGCACTGGTCGTAACAGTTGGCCGTCCTTGACTGAACCTCCTAGATGCCGAATCTGTGGTTTGAAATTGCCTCCAAAGTCTATGAACCACAGATGGACTCACATTTAGCCATCTGGCCACTTCTGATTGACTCTGCCCTGCCTCTAGTCTCCCGATGGCTCTCCATCGTAGTTCTTCAGGCAAATGATGCCTAGAGGTCATTATTACGAATTGGCTATCTCAGATTTTCAATGTCGCAATCACAGTAAAATTTGTGTGCTTTCTCTCAAACTTGGACTTTTATGCTCCAGGCAGATGACGTAAGCCGAGTGCAGCGCCACTAATTTGCATATTGCAATTTTACTCAGCTACTCTTAGTGGACAACATATGCAAATTTTGCACGGTTTGGCTTACTTTTGAAAGAGTTATCGCTATTTTTGTGATTTTTCCTTAATTTATGATAACCAGTGTATATCCGGCATTGCATTTTTAAAAATATATTCATCTATGCATCTTTTAATTTTGGTCAATTTTTAATTTTCTGTTATCCTTTCAAAAAAACATTTTTTTTCATAAAAAAGTTCTTAACATTTAGTAAGGCCTTATAAAACTATAACCGTTATTAAAGTAATGAAATTGTATAAATACATAAAAGTACAGCATTTATCCATACATGTTGAATACGTATTTATTCCATAGTTTATTAGCGTTTTTCGCGTCAATTCCAGCACGAGAAAAATGCCGTAAATTTATGAAAATTGTTTCGAATTTATTCAGAATATTTTAAGAATATTCTGTATAAATTGAACGTTTTAGACCATATATAAGACCTCATTTGAATGGTACACCAACTCTACTTATTTAAAAAAAATTTATCCTCTCTCTCATGATCATACAAATAATTTCTATCTTATTTTGAAACTATTACGCTTTCAGCTAATTTCTGCGACCAAGCAAAGGGCACCACAAATCAGACAAGGAATGGAAATCAATGATTTTAAGCTACTACCTCAAAAACAAAAATGGCGTTAATCCAGTATTGAAATAAGGTTTTTCTTATACCAGATATTATGTACAATTAATTAGAATACTTTGTGTAAATTAATTGAATATTACATAACTGTAAGGAATTCATTTGCCTGGTTTTGCTTTGTTCTGCTTTTTCTTTTTTTAATTTTGATTAACACTGTTAAAATTTTCATTCTGAAATTATGGTAAAATGGCCGACAGCAGTTTCTCCATCCAAACAACCATAAAGCTTATGGTTAGGAAAAAAAAAATTTTACCTTTACGGTTTTAAAACCGTTTACAACTGGCACAGTTAAAAAACCGGAAATACAAAACTAAACTAAGTTTTAAATGGTTTTGTTACCGTTTAAAACTAGCATAATTTCGAATCCATGAAAATGAAACTTAAACGGACATGCTGCGTTTTTTCTGAGTGAATGACAAGTTCGCAATATAATGGTACAAGGTCCCTAATTGAAGAGTGCAAGACACTGGAAACTCTTCATATAATGAAGGAATGAAAAAATATTGTAGTATCATCGCTGGGATTCGAACCCCTAATTAACCGGTCATGATATTGACCGTATTAGGAAAAAACAATCAATAAACGTTTTTCTTCTCACAAATAATTTGAACATAATTTTTTTTATTGCTACATGGCTGTTTCGGTTAAATATGGTAAAATAACAATTAGATAAATTGCTATTTAGCCATTTTTTCCAAGAAATTTCTAACGGTGAATAATGTTAATACATTATACCCATATATATTTTTAAAATTCTTTTTTCTTTTCACTCACAGTATATATAGAATGAAAGATTAAAAATAGAATTTTGTAAAATAATATTGTTAGGCTCTATGCATCAAAAAATAGTATTATTCCACTACTGAAATAAGGTCCTTTATGTTATTATAAATTATTTACAAATAATAAGACTATTTAAGTATAAATTAATTGAATATCATATGATTGATGTAATTCATTTTCCTGATAATAGATATACATAACTCGATATTCCATGCACGCAATTTATTCAAACATTTGTTCATTCATATGAAATGTATCTTTGGATGGATAAATGTATTTCAAAAAGAAATACAGACTTTCATTTCCATAAAGTAATTTTGTTCACTTTCAAGCAGTTTCAAAAAAAAAAAAGGTTTATTAGACCACCAGAGGTTTATTTAAATAGACACAAACTGTATAGACTGAAATAAAAAGTATACTATATGTTATGTTGATATAATATTGCCAACTAAATGATGATAGTAATGTGTACATACTTTCAGAACAAGTACCTGATGGACAACCTCCTTGCACTGAGTATAAAACAGCACAAGTAATAAGAACGACGGCTAAATTCATTTTTCTGCCTGAAATAAATAAAGTTTGAATTTAAAAACGCTTAAATGTATGCAACTGTTACAAAGCACTAAATATAAAAAAGCAACATTTAATTTTTTTTTCCTCCGAAACTATTCGAGCTATTTTCAAAGTTTGAATTTTGATGTAAAATATTGTCATTGTTAAAGTTGATAATCTTTAAATCTTGTAATATAATAGACTTTCATTGATTATTAAAATAAATATCAGAAAAATATGTATTTATTAGAAATGATTTTCAGCAAGAAATCATACATGGGGGAGCTAGTTTCATATGTTCTCAAATCTTTTTGGAGAGCAATTAGTTCCAGAGACGGGACAGGCACACAATAAATAAAAAACAGCAGTAAGGTGCTAAAACTTGACCATGAGCCGTTTGGACCTCTGTTTCCAAATTGCGACTACCTTTCAAACATTGAGGGTCAAAAATTAAAATCTGTCAAAAACAAAAAGGGTTATTAAGAAAAATACTTCACTTAGGCCCAGATCATCGTCTGAATACCTAAGGATAAAACTGATTTTTGGAAGTAAAATTACGATCATTGGATCAAAAATTATTCGTGTCGAAATTTTTTGTTATTAATTTGTTGAATATATTAGTTTTTAACAAAATTCAAAGTTTACGAAACCTATCTTTACAATTTTGTGAAGTAAAGAAATCTAAAATTTAGATCCAGTTTTAATACCGTGTAACATTAGAGAATTTTATTTGCACACTTTTTGCGTGATCTATGAAAATATTATAGTTACTGACATTAAAAAATAAATAAATAAACACGTTTTAAAAGAATTTCAACTGAAGTGGTACTCAAATAATTTCCGTATCACTTCAGCTAAAACCGTTGACTAACGTGAACTTTATGTAAGAGTGAAATTTTTTCACGGTTGATGCAGAAGAACATTCAAAATTTCAATGAATCGGAATTTCTTCACTGTTGACTTATTATAGAAACGTTAGATGAAAATGGAATTTTTTTATTGTTGGCTAATAAAAACTATGCATATGAATGAAATTTAACTGCTGATTTATGGAAAATTTGCATAGAAGTGGAATTTTATAATTGCTAACTTACAAGAAAATTTTCGAAGTCATGAATTTTTTTCAATTTTTGGCTTATAGGAACTTTACATCGCAATGGAATTTCTTCACTTTTAACTTATATAATCTTTACATAGAAATTGAATTTTTCAATGTGGGGTTTATGGGAAAATAGTGAAATTTTTAAACTGCTGTCTTATAAGAATTGATCATAGGGAAGTATAAAATTCTTTGAACTGAAATGTTTTAAATCGAAATTTTATTGAAGCCGAAAATTTTTTTTTATCGAAATTCTATGCTTTTACTCTCATACGCTCAGGGACAACAAATCAACACAATATATTTGATAGTAAAAAAAATTTAAAATATATTTGATAATAAAAAAAAAATCTATATATTAGGGATCGAGGCTAAACCCATTCAGAATACCGGATTCTATGTGTAAAAAAACTTTATATAGTAGATTAATAATGTTTGAGTAACATTATTCTCATAAATTGCTTTTATATTTACCAATATGCGATGCCTTTTTGAGCGCTTTCCTTTACCGTTTTCAAACATTGCTTTGATATACCAAATAAATTATTTTTCTATTTTTTTAACGATTTTCTTTTTCTTTTTTTTTCTTTTTTTCCGAATAAAATGTTTAACTGAGGGTCAGAATGTATCGATTCCTTTTGTTTACAACGCCGAGATGCACGTCATTGAAACACGCAAGAGTGCTATTGAAGTCTTGCAAATTTAACTTGGTCTCCATTTTTCCCACAGTGTGTCAGTTTTTAAGTGGTACTGTCTTTAATTTATTAAAATTGCTTAAAAGGTTGAAAATGTTTACTCCATTCAATTCATAAAATATGGCTAGAAAAATGGATTTATATTATTAAAAAAATTATTTGATTCATCTTAAACGATAATTTTTTTTTTTGACATGATAGTTTGAGTTTTATTATTGTTAATTTATTTCAGTTTGAAAAAGGTATACCATGTCGTTAAACAACTCAAGTTTATTTATTTCACGGTTTCATCCTAAAAATTTGGATAAAAATTGCATCCGTGCACAAAATTTTTGGATTATTCTAACCTTTAAAAAATTATTTTTCGATTAATAATTTTGTTGGTTTCGCGAGAATTTAGTTTTATTAATGTGCCTCGCTGCAAAAAAAAATTATTTCAAAACTGCAGATTATTTTTATTATTTATTTTAAAAGTTTCTTCTTTTTCCCTACATTTAATTTATCAGAACAATTTTGCGCAGAAATTTATTCTATTTACAATATTATAGTGTAAGGAAGTAAAAAAATAATTTTATAGTAACGATTTAGTTATTATGTTGTTAAAATATGTAATTATTTCAAACTTAACTAGTATTGTGTATATTATTCAATATATTCGAACTTAGCTGTTATTTCCATGTATAAATACTTTCTTATGCTTCCCCTGTAAGATTCAAGCGAATTGCTTATTTGAATATACATCGAGCTAAATACGGTCGATTAAAAAAAATTTAAAAATAACGTAGAATGTTTGTCTTATCCAACTATTCTACTTAGAAATAAAGTTAAATAATTGCATAAAATGTAAGTAAAAGAATTAAATACCAAAATTTACAATAAAAGCCCAAAACATTTTATCAAATTTAGAGTACGAAAATTATTTGAAAATTATATTTCAAAATTATTTAAATTCATCTTTATTTTTTTAAGTGAAGCGAATAAAAGTTTCTAAATATGAATTAAGGATAATTATTGATAGGTACAGGAAAGGACTAATTTTGTCCAATTTTTAAAGAAATCGAAGTATTTTTGATTCACTCAAATAATATATTAAATTCTAAAGTTCTGAAAAATTATTGAAGGGGGTACGTAACCTCATTATATCTCTGTCCTCCATCGCAAAAAATGAATGGTTGCACCTGCTAAATAACAGATGGTAACTAAAAAAGATCTAAACAAAAATTATTTTTTCATTCGAAAGATTTGTTAGACATTATAACTCAGATAATTATATAATTATGCTCAAAGCATAACGTGCACAATCTGCATAACTATGAATAAAGTGAAACTTAAAGTATAACATTTCCAATGATGCACATAGTATAACACATTTGAACATAATTTCAATGCGCAAGTTATTAATGACTCAACTGATTGATATAGTGAGGATATAGCACAATATAGTGAATAAAGGAAATAATGATTATATAGATAGTAATTATAATGAATAGTGGTGATATAGGTAGATAATAATGATTAATGATGATGGTTTATGACTCAACTGAAGAATATATTGAGGAGAATATAATGATATAGGGGGTATAGTGAATAAAGTAAATAATGATGATATAGGTAGTAATTATAAGGAAAATGGGTGATATAAGTGGATAATAATGAACAATGATAATAGTTTATGACTCAACTGAATGATATAGGGAGGATATTGTAGCGATATAGTGAGGATATAAAGTGAATATAGTGAATAAAGTAAATAATGATGATATAGATGGTAGTTATAATGAATAATGGTGATATAGAGGTAGATAATAATGATTAATGATGATGGTTTATGACTCAACTGAAGGATATATTGAGGAGACTATAATGATATGGGGGTATAGTGAATAAGGTAAATAATGAGGATATAGGTAGTAATTATAAGGAAAATGGGTGATATAGGTAGATAATAATGAACAATGATAATGGTTTATGACTCAACTGAATGATAAAGGGAGGATATTGTAGTGATATAGTGAGGATATAACAATATGGTAAATAAAGTAAATAATGATGATATAGATGGTAGTTATAATGAATAGTGGTGATATAGATAGATAATAATGATAGATAGATACGAGATGATAGAATGATATTGTGATGCATAATACAGCATACTTACTCTTTGAAAATGGCAAAAAAAAATTTGAAATTAAATGTATTTTCTTTAAATAATAAGTATAGCTTTGTTTTTAATTAGCAAAGCATAAATTTCCTCCTTCAAAAAAATTCCAAAATATTATCTTACACAATGTCTTACACTGGTGCACGTAAAATCTTTTTTTTCCTCGGTTTGGGAAGTCATATGCTTCTCAGACTGATAAAGCATTTTAGCTTGCTGTTCCGAGAAAAGGAAATTTCATTATCAGTCAATACACCAGAGATAAAGCACTTTCTTACGCCAATAAAAGTGATAAATTTCAAACATTTGTGAATATGAAATCTAACTGAAACTTTTGAAAATATGTTTTCTTTATTTGAGATTATTTTTTTTTTAATTTACCTATTGTTATTATTATCTGATTTGTAACGTTTCACTGATGTTTAGGAACGAAAATTTATTTTTGTTTAGATTTCTTTTTTTTTTTTTCATTTACCCCTGTTGTTAGGGTTGTGCATCCATCCAGTTTTTTACCACAAAGAGGAGGGATATAGGATGTTTTGCCCCACCTAAGCCCTTTTAATAATTTTTCAGAACCTGAGAGATTGACCTCTGGCCTCCTGTTTAGACACCCCAGGTTCTAATGCTGACAATGGTTGGTAAAATCGTAAACTGCTTTCGGCTCGCTCCGTCCCCATTGCTGTCTGAAAATATCCTCCGTAATACTCAGTAAAAATCTCCGAATTAGTTATGGTAATAAGTACTGAAACTCAGGGCTCAGGAACTTTTTACCGCAAATCCACTTTTATCGGAACATGTTACGAAACAAAAAATTTTATTTACCGTACCATTTACAGTAATAATTACGGTAAAATCACTGAATCATTCTAATTAAGTTAATCTAGTTCTTTTTGAGAAGAATCCATCGTTTCTGACACGTGCGGGACAGTTGTTCTATATGATTTAATCTATTCATTTCGCAAACAAGAAAATAATTTTATTTTATAAAAGAACAAATAGTAACTTGATCTAATTGGGGCTGATTAACAGGCTAAAATGAAGCTTCATGACTTACAGTATATTCTGAAAAAAAAAACCGTTTCAACTGCTCATCCTGAGTTTTATCAGAGTAGCAATGTTTAACTGGCTAAAGTCATTCAGCAGAAACAAATATCTCAACCCTTTGATGCGGGTGGGACACCGGCGTCCCTTTTATATATTTTTTTGACGCTTTAGTTTCAAGCAAAAAAACATAAATTTGATAATTTTTAATTATAAAAAAACAGTCTAATAGTTGCTAAGCAAAATCTGTTAGATTTTCGGAATTATATTTGTACTGAAATATAAAATCTAAATAAAGAGGCTTGAAAAAACATTTTCATTCATTTTCAAAAATTGATCAATAATTAATCTTATAATTTAACGAAATTTCAATGACGAATAACTCTTTGATCTGAATAACTGCAAATAAATGCAGAGTTTATAAATTATTGTTTTGAAGTGAGCCGTGTATGGAAGATTTTACCTCTAACACTCTTTCATAAAAAGACACAGGTATTTCATGCTATATTTCATAACACCATGAATTATTAAAATGCTAAATATAATATTTCTCACTTATTTTGACCTAAAATAATACAAAATAGTGAAGAAAGAGTAAAAAATATGCTCAGTAAATATTCTGAGTCAAACTTCTAAAAACTACTTTAAATTCAATTCATTTGAAATCTTAACTGTTAAATGTTATAATCTTAATATCCGAAAAAAAAGATATCCATTTTTATATAATTATGTTATGTTCTCACTTTTATATATGTCCCTTTACACGTTATTAGCGTTGAAAAGAATGCGAATAATTGTGTGCGAAAAGAATGCGAATAATTGTCTAACAATCAATCGTGTTTTTAACATTGTATAAGTCTTAGAAAGAAAATGAATTTTTTGTTACTAAATAACCTTATGCTGTTGAAAATGATAAGGTTTTATCTCATTAATACAACATTAGTTTTCTTCTTATGTCCTTCATGCAAATTATCATTTTATTACAGATAAGTTTACATTTATAGCACTTTTTTAATTCATCTTATCATTTTACTCTGGCTTGGTGACTTATCAATTAGCGCCAATATGTACTCTCCTTAAAAATTACTCTAAACATGAGCTGGCCGACGTTGTTCTCTAGACAAAAGCTTTTTTTTACATTATTCCTTTCTCATTTTTTAAGTTTTAACTACGCAATTGCAAATTTTTAGGGGTAATTATAAACTAAAAACTGCAGTCTGATGAATTTTGTTAGAAGTAATTCACGTTGAAATATCGAAAAATAAATATAATCACTTACGCATTTTAACAAGTAAAATTTTTTTGAATAATTTTATGCTTTTAACAAATTTTGGTTACACTTAGCTAAATTCACGTTGAAATATCGAAAAATATATATAATCACTTACGCATTTTAACAAGTAAAATTTTTTTGAATAATTTTATGCTATTAACAAATTTTGGTTACACTTAGCTAAATTTGATAGTTACCATTATCCTATAGGCCTGTCCGTAACCAAAATTAAGTCTAAGAGAGCATCTTTGATTGCAAAAACTACTAGTTACTCAGAAAAGCAAAAGGAATCAATTTCGTTAGATGGCACGCTAAATTTCGACAAATTCCAGCACTAAGAATTTTGTTCTAAGATTCGAAACGAAATAAGAGAAAATTTATTTTTTTTTATTTACGTTAATAGGTATTTTGATGTTGGGCAGATCTATGCTTTCACAAATTTGTTTCAGATAATATCTTATAGAAAAAAAAAGATCTGACATTCGTTTATTTCCAGAGTATTTTGTATTATACGTTTGTATCATTAAGCATTTCTCATGGTATAAATTTATTCGAACGAGACAGAACCACAACTATCGAATGAGTGCTTGAGCATTGAGTGTAATGCTTGCATAGAATATGTTCAAATATTACGGATAATAATTTTACTGAAGCAGCTTTGCTTTTGCCATTATCCAATGAAGGATATTAGGACATCCTGAGAATTAAGAAAGTTACTGATTCAGTTTTTGTATATCGGCCTCTGATTTATTCTATGCAGTTGCTATTCCTTTGATGTGCGAACATACAGAAGCTGAAAATGAAACAAATAAGCCGAATAATAGTTCTCGTTGAAATGAAAACTAGAAAGAACTGCTTTAAATGTTGAAAATTAGTTATTAGGGAAACGTATTTTTTTATTGACGAATTTAATTATTTTGTTTTGATTTGAAAAGCGTAATGAGAAATACAATTATAATTTTGTCATAAAATGAATGTCCTTTTCATATCTTATTCAGTGCGCTGTAATAAGAAAAATTATGCATATTTTTTGAAAAAATCATTTTTTATAATCATTTTGCTTTAAGCAATTTCGTAAAGGCAACTGGAATATTAAGTAAATAATCGATTATTGATTAGAATTAAGTATAATTGCAGGTTTCAAAAATGATAAAAAAAAAAGAGAGAAAACTAATTTTAAAAAATTTTGCGACCTCTTTTACTCTTTCACGGAAACTTACGTAGTCGAGAGTGAATTCGCCATTTTGGTGCAGTTCTGTCTCTAAAAACACTGGCGATTGTTAACTGTGTCAAAGCGAACAGTTTAAAAAGGTAAAGTTTAGTTTGTTCATCTATAGAAAGAACTCTCCTAGTCACTAAGTCTAAAGACGCCAGGTGCATGAACACAGCGCATTCCAAAGAGGGGAGCTTATCTCTCCCCTGATACCCTATTTTTATGCCAACCTGAGCCAAAACCTGTCTTTAATATTAACCCAACACTCTTACCTTAAACAGTTAAATCTCATAACCATAGTGATCGCCACCTCTCGAGATGATTGATAACGAGAGTTCTTTTCACAGACAGACTATAGTGTAGTGTTTCCAAGTGTTGATTAAAAACAGAGTTGTGTGTTCGTTTTAGATATAAAAAAAATATGCCTGGACATCGACTGGTACCAATCCAAAGACTTTTGAGTCAGTAGCCTGATACTCTAACCACTATTCAAAAATGTTAAAACCCGATACCAAGAGGAACTAGTACGCTTTGTACCAAAAATATATATATAGTGGCAACCCAACACTTCGATTCCAGGGAATGTAAAAGTCTGACTGTAGAAGCCTAATAGATGTAATTTTATATGGCAAAATACAAAATTTGAATGAAATCGGTTGAATAGTTTCTCAGTTATCAAATTTTTAAAAAATAGTACAACTAAATTCGATTTCACAAGAACTAATTGATCTATTTTGTTCAAATTTTGTATTTTGCCACATAAAATTACGTTCTTTAAAATTACATGAAAATTGACTACTCCAAAATTGACTATTCCACTATTTTTAATTAATATATTAAAAATTAGGGAAAATTATTTTTTTTTTTGTATTGAGCTATCTTTGGATAACTGAAATTTATAATTTTGAGTAAGAAGTTTTCAATTCACTTTAAAAATTCTCTAGCGAGGGCGTAGTAAAATCAACAAAGTAACATTTGCTCCAAACTTTAAACCGCTCTTCTGACCGAGATAGTGACTGCACTATATTTTGAGGGTAAGAAATTATAATCAGTTGGAAAAAGGCATGATTATTTAGATAAAGTATGTTTTCGTGTCGAATTTAGTAACTGAAAATATTGTCTGTACTAATTAATTAGCATATTGAAAGTGTTAAAATTAATTAAATTAAAAATTATGTGACTGGGCAAAAAAAAAACTGTTTTATGATGCATAAAAATTTAATCCCGTTATTTGTTATCACTCTGTTTAGCAACACCAGACTTCAATAAAATCTTCGAAATCTACTCTTTTTCAACCAATATTATTTTTGATTTCCTTAAATGGAACTTTAATTTGGATCCCAGGTTAGAACATAATGATTGCTTTGCTTCAACCCAATCGGAAAAAGAGTGGTCATCAATTTTGCTTAGGCTAGCTCTTTGTTGTGCTTTCTAATTAGTTACAATCTGTAACACAACTACATTTCAATCTGTTACGCTACATCCTACAGAATTAACGAAGCTTCTCTTTCCACCAATTCGATTCTCACGTCCACTTAGAATGGTTCTTTAACCACTTCAATGAACAGTTGGTTCGATATTTCAGCCAGCTCTTCACCAATTGTACGAAGTTCTTCCTCACGACTTTCTGATATCGTGAGGTCTCTCTTTTGTTTAATTTTGTTGTTGTTGCGCTGTTGTCGTTTGACAAGGGCAGAAAAGTTAAAGTACAAATCAAATGGGACCGAAGGCATGGAGCACAGCCCTGGTCATATCTCCGACTTTTTCGGTATAAAGGGTGTCATGGCAGCAGTTGAGGTCGATGTTGAAGAAGGTCGAGGATTATCATTTAGAGAAGGTCTCTTAATGATTTCATGTGGCTCTTTTTTTGAACACGTAGGTCTAAATTGATCTTAAAGGTAGACGGTGGTTTGACAGCGGTGGTTTAAAGTTCTTCAGTAATTTCAGGGCATGAGTTGTTCATACTGATGTTCTTTCTGATATCTTTGTCGTATTGGAGCGTGGAGAATCGCTTTAACCTTTCCCTGTTGGTCCGGGCCCGAAAAGTAACATTTGAGATGTGTTCCACACTGCTGCTCCTGATCTTATTGGTAAATTTAACCGTGGCTAGTTTTCGCCTGCTTTCAAGTGGTGTGAGACCGCATTCAATCTCAGCACTAAGTACGTTCAATTTTGCTTAGGGCTAATTATCAATAGTGTTGCTTTTAACCATTAGTTTAACTTTAGGTCAATTATTCTATTCCCACTTCTGTTTTCTTCTCGTTCTTCCATTTCTTCTTCTACAACTGTTACCTTTTTCTTTTCCGGCTATATCTATACTAGCCGGAAGGCTCTCCTGCCCACTCACCTGGCATCGAATGCTAAGACGTGGGGAAAAATGGATAACTTTAAAAGCTTCCATACATTGAGGAAGAATGTATTGACTCTCCGTCTAGTATAGGGTGTCATCATCTAGTCAATCTTCTAAAGATTGCCTACGTCTCTCCGGTGCTCAGAATCCTCTGCACATAAGGAAAACTCTGAGCTCCGTTTTCTCTGGACAAAGCGCTGCTGTTATGCCCAGCATAAATTTTTTTCAAGTTGTAATTAATTTGCGTTGAACTAAAGCTGCACATTGGGTTATTGGCAACGGTCTGGGAAGCATCTCTGAGGATGATCCGAAAACATGCCATCTCAAGTTTGATCCTATGCAGAGGAGACGGCGCCCCCGCTTCGATAGCCAGACAACCTGCGTGTGAAGTTTTTTATTTATTTATTTCACTTATTTTTTTAAAAAAAGTCGTGTTCTCTTTTTACTTGCTTTAGCCACCCAACAGATGATTCTCACCGTCATCCGCGATGAGGATCAGGAGCTGATGGTGGGAGATAGACTTCGAAGAATCTTTAGGAGTTCATTGCGGGGAATAGCCTTCAGGAATCGTCCACCCGTGGAATTCAAAAAAAAATTGTATGCAAGTTGATCTAAATTCATATATTTTGAACATGGAGTTTCGATTCCTGAAAAATCAAATTTTGAAAAAGTCGTCTATTTAATATTTGATTTCTCAGTAACTACTCTAACAATTACTAATTTTGTATTTTTTGTTTAATTACCTTCTTTTAAAATGATATAAAAATGCATGCTTTACAATTCAAATTTTTTTCCAACTATCATTAAATAAAATAATAAATATTTACTAAAAAGTTATTTTTAGACAATTAACAAAATTATAAACGACCTTTATAATTGTGCTCAAAATTTTTTCAATCCGCTTGAAAAGCTCTCCGGTTATTTCTCAGATTGCAGCTACTCCCTATATTTTGGAGTTCAGAAATCCAAATCCTCCGAAAAAATGGCATGTTTATTCAGATAAAGTGCATTTTAGTGTCTGATTTAGTAACTTAAAATATCACTCCTGCACTTATTAGTTAGAATATTTCAAGTCACCCTTTTGAACCATTAAGAATGAGTCCTGTATGTTGAAGATCTGATCTTTGGATCAAAAGTTATCAAGGTTGTCCGGTAATTTATTTATTTATTTATTTATTTATTTATTTATTCATTCATTCATTGCGCACTAAACGTCTGAAAATTTATAATTCAAATCTGCTAAACTTTTCTTTGCTTTATCTCTAATTTATTCCATTATAATGCGAAGAGGATTTTTCATAATTTGATTTTATTAAATAGACCAGAATGTATTCTGATTTATTCCTTTACTCTTTGCCTTTTTTTAACTGTTAGCAAATTAATTATTCCAAGATATTCTTAAAATAAAACGTCAACTCCCTCTTATTTATTTCTCATTAACGAATGTATTTTTCTGACAATTTAGTCCAGAGTTTTGTATACAATTATGCGTAGATTTCTTTTTGTTATCTGTTATTATATTATGTATGTAAAACTTAATTATATTAAGAGCTTCGGTTTTTTTATTGATCAGTAAATAAACTAACCAAAATATACTATGTAATTGTAGCTATTTTATTTTTAATTGCCATAACGAATCGTAGTTACCTGTGACCTTTAATGAGTTTTTTATATGGTGATGATTTTATTGTTTTGATGTTAGCAAAGCATGATTACTTTTTAAAAAAATCAATTTCCTTCAGTTTTGATTTAAAAAATATTGTGCAATCATTCGGTTATGTTATAGTTCTTTAAACCAGAGCTACATTTGTTGTGTGTGCATATTTTTGTTACCAAATTATATTTGTAAAACTTTAAAATATAATTGTGCTTAATTAAAAAAACAGTCAGAATTTTTATTGACAACAGAAAAAACGCAATAGAATCTTCTATATAAATATGATAAAACAGACTTTTTGTTTCTAATCAATGATGATTATGAATACACTTGAATGCATTACAATTAAAAAGAGATAATTTTATTGCTATAGTTAATTTTTATTTGCCTTCTGTTTTAACTTAGGATTTTTATAGATGGATCTCATCCGGGCTATGAGTTATTCTAGCTTTGGTTGCTTAAAGGGGTAGGATGTGCCGATGTGGTAAGCGGACAGTCCATAGCATAGTGCCACACTGTTCTTAATTCTCCACAGGCGCTTGTGTTGTCAGTAGCAATGCAGAAACGTTTTAGATAAGCTTTAAAGGGGCCACGATCTGAAAGAAAGAGGATTAGCTGCCTATTCTACTCTACAGGCTTGAATGAGAAATCTGGTAAAATTTCTCTGATTAATATTCCCGATTTCGGTTTGTAATGATGACTTGTTGAGCCCATGCCACATCGAGTTGCTGTGCTTCGTAGAGATAGAGAAGGTCCGACGCAATATTAAGACGTGTCCCATGATGTTTGTCACTTCAGTGAATTTAGAATCCTTGTCTAAAAATTACATTCAGAAATCTCGCACATAAAGGATACCAAATTAATATGTAAGTGAGAAAGAAACAAAAACGCAAACGAATTTTGACAAATCACAATTGGGAAAGTGGAATGAGAAACGCTCAAGCCAGTTTGATTTCCAAATGGAAGTTAGGGAAGTTTCTGTAGCACTTCTCAAAGGGTTTGAATTCATTCGTTCGTTCTTCGTTTATTCTTCTTTTTTCGCTGCACTTAAAAACATTAGATTATGCTGAATAATAAATTTACGTGATATGGACATTCCTATACTTTACATGCAAGAAAATAGCATTTTGTTACAGAAACACCACCTCAGTTCAGTCTGTACCCTGCATTCTGCTCCGATCTGACTTCTTCAGTCAGTGTTTCCTCTGTAGCCCCAATTTCTCTGAGATTTTTTCTCCTCATTAATTTTTATTAAATTATTTTATGGGTCACTACACCTTACGTATTTCTAATCAGTCCTCTTTTCTGAACTTTTCTTTTCATTTTTAAGCAAAGCATAATCATTAAAATTATATTCAAGAGTATTTTACAGGCACATTAAATATTTAAGAACAAAAGCAGTAACGTTAAATAAATTCAAATAAGACTGAATTCATTCCGGCCCTAATAAGAAAATGTGAATGTCTGACTCAGTTGTAAGAAAGTTCGGCCTGAAAGTTGCTAAACGAATTTGATGAGTTTTTCCCTTTTTTTTTTCCTTTTTTTTTTTTTTTTTTGCTTTGCATTCAAGGAAGAAACAATAAAATTTATTGTGAGGATTTAATTATGCGAAGCAATATTTTTGCAACAATTTTAATGTGATATCAACATTTATTACTGATATAAAAGTGTGAAAAGAAATAATAATGAAAACAAAATTTAATCGCATGAAAAAATTTCGTTATCTACAACAAGAAAAAATCTATTTACAACTTTTCGAGACGTTTATGCAAAAAGTTCCCCATACATTTAATACAAGTGACGAAAATCATAATCAACATTTATACGCTCATAAAATATTTTTTAAGCCCAATGAAAGCACTACTATGATCATAATTCTCTCTCTGTCTCTCTTAATCTTTTTTTTTTCTTTTTCTTTTTTTTTTTCTATGGCTAGTAGACCAGAGATTTTCGAACTCTTTTTCATCTTTGACTTTTAGTAAATGCTGCCAATAAATTTGTGATTACATATTATACATCGTCCCGCAATTATTTTATCCTTTATAAGTTTTGAGCGAAATACTTTTGACTCTACTGAACAATTTTTTTTAAATAAAATGCTCTCTAATTCATATGTTCTAAAATCAATTTTTAGTTTTCATAAACAGAAACAATATAAAACGAATCCTTTATTTTTATATTACATATTTACATATGAGTATCAAACAAGTTAAACGAGACTGAGAAGTTTATTTCATAGGAAATGCGGGCGTCTTAGATTGTGATAGCATCAGGCTGTAACCGTGGAGACAGTATCGGGAGGTAGCATCACATCGAGTGCCGTATGGGCAACAATGAACCATATCTGCGCAACACATAGCTGAGGGGTATGGGCAGCATGTGTATGCTCCGTTTGGTAGTGGACAGCATGTCGATCCGACTTGACAGTAGTAATATCCACCTGGACAGTATACGACGCTATTCTGGGCATCATTATCCTCCGAAGCAACTTCTGGAATCACTGTAAAAATTAAAAAGGAGTAAATTAAAATTTACAATTTAATCAAGGCGTTAGTCATGCCACTTTGGTATTATATATTTCATAGCATTTAATTTCACTGAATACTTAAATTTATCTTTAATTTAATTAGTTTTCTTTAATTCCTTTCTCTATAAACGTAAAAAGAAACATTATTATTCAAGATTGTCACACAATAAGTTGATGACAATCTTTTTCTTGTCACTCTTGAATCATCCTTTTTTTATCATCTATTGAAATACCTTTTAATGGTAATGCGTTAACATCAACATAAAATACATTCCATTGCATGTTTTCTTTATTTTTGCAACGTCTTTTGAAGTTTTAATTTTTCGCAAAATTCGTTGAATAGACAAATTGGTTTTCATTGGGTTGGCACTGCTTGCTTGGCTCTTAATGAAAATTCATTTTCGATAAATCGCCAATAGTGGATCTCTCGCTCTATTCCGAAGCAACTGTTAATGTTTCACTTTTCATTCGAACTCACACTTGTTGGGATTTGTCCGTACCTATCCGCCTACCCGCTACCTATCTGGTTACCCGTTAAAAATTATCATTTCACTTGATCTCTAATGTTATAGTCATAATATCTTCATTGCTAAAAAACAATATTGATGGTGCTCAAAAATTTCCTTCTTCCCTACTATCTGAACGTAACATTTATATGCTTTTGTTTTTTGCACTTTTTGTGATTATTGTAAGAATAATGCTTACATTTAACCCATTATTAAGACAAGCAGCTCTATACGCCGGAATGATAAGTAAGAAGCAGCTTCCATTATTTAATAATGAAATTTTATTTAATCTTGAAATAGGACTGTGTTAGTTGTGCATAGAACAGCACATTTGGCGCAAATACCTCGATTCTATCTCTTTAAACAAAATTTTTAATTACGATTCGGAATGTTTGCAGCTAGATTTCTTTACCGTCTATACTCTTTGTAAATTGAATTGGCGTTTTAAGGGTTGCATAATATCCCCGCTCTTTGACCTTGGTAACAGAGAGGAGGAAGTGAGGAGAGTGGAGAAATCGAGTAATTTTGAGACGCTTTCTATAATTCCAAAAAGTATGATTTCAACTTTTCAGATTCCCTAAATTGTGAGTTTGTTGATATGAAGTTTTGATTTTAAAAAAATAGAAAATGGGAAATCTTTTAAAGTTAAATAATATGATTCATGCGCTCACTGATTGGCAAAATGTTTAGAGAAAAAATAGTTCAATGATCTTTACCTAACAGAAAATATTGCACTATAATATAATAACTTTTGTGTTAAACAAACAGGCTTTTAATTAGTTTCTAATTTCAAATTTTCCATTAATTTTTTATAAAAAAAAATTCTATTTGAGATACTTAGTCTGTAGATTTAGACCTATATAGTTTTTAAAGCCAACAGTGATCTACTAAAATTAATTGAAATAATGCTAACATAATATTTTTTGTTGCATATTTATTTAATTCATTTAAATATCTAATTAATATTCAAAATATGTTCTGTTTTCACAAGTCCAAGTAAGAATATTAAAAGTTATAAAAAATATTAGAAAATTTCTTTATCCATCTGAAACAACCTCTATATAAGATCATAGATCGATGCAGTTTTAAATCTAGTTCAACATTAAAAAAAATATATAAAAAAATAAATAAATAAATGAAAAAAACTTTAGTTTTCAACTCTTAACTTACCTTTAGTGCAGGATCCAGAACAGAAGAAAGCACAAACCGATAGCATTAATAAATAGTACATTTTCAGACCTGAAAAAAAAAAAATTATTTTTTAAGGATCATTAAGGATTCATTTTTTTTCATTTTTTGCTATTGTACATTATTAATTTATTTCAATTATAATGAAGCCATATCAATAGTATAATAAAAAAGAAAAAAAAAACAAAAGTACAATGATAATTATTTAATATTTCAGAAAAATTATAACTGCAGGATGCAAAAAGATTATCCTCTAATTGTTGTATTCTAAAACTTTATTGCATCAAACAAAATAATTTTACTCGAATTGTTGCATTTTAACAAAACTGTGAGAACCACAACGATTATCCTCTATTTGTTGTATTCTGAAAAATTACTGTGGGAAATAAAATTAATATCCTCTAATTGTTGCAGTCTAAAAATTACTGTGATAAACAAAACAATCATCATCTAATTGTTGTATTCTAAATATAACTGCAAAAAAAAAAACAATTATCTTTTTATTGTCGTATTCTAAAAAATTAACAGTGGGAAACAAAACAGTTATACTCTTATTGTTGCATTCTAAAAAATAACTAATTTATTATTTCCTTTGAGAAAAATAAAAATTTAAAATTCATCTACATTTACTGTGAACCGTTAAAGATTAACCCTTAAATTTTACTCAACTTTCAAACTATTTCTATGAAAATTTTTGCCCTTAGAAATCATAGTAACTAAAAGAAATTCAACTTGGAAACTGATCCAAAACTGCATTAGTTATGATAAAAAATCAAATTTTTTTAATTATAAAGGAATTAAAAATCGCGTCTTTAATTATGATCGTTCATTTTTTTAAAAGAAATCAGCAAAAGTTTTTCTTTCATTTTCTTCAGAAAATCTAAACTTTAGTTTACAGATGAAACTGCAGCACTACTGTTAAGAAATATTACTTCCTTGATTAGAGTTTCAATCGAGGTTTCAATTTTAATTGCAAAATGTTTTTTATTTTTAATTTATATCGAACAAATTCATAAAAATTATACTACATTTGTTATACATCCAGAAAATGCTATTTTTATATGCAATAATCTAAATCCCGTACAAAGTATCATTAAACTAAGAAAATTTTTATTAAATGTAGAAATTGTCATACATTTTAGTTTTCGGTTATATTTTTTTAAAAGATGTTTTATAAAAAAATCACTAGGATTGAATGATAAAACTAAATGCATAAATCAAACAAACATATTCAATAATCAACACACCATCTTGTAATGAACTTAAGGATTTTGTTGAGTTTGATAATAACAATAGAAATATTTGATAAAATAAGTATTAAAAATTAATTATAATAAAACCCGTACGTAGTTAAATACACTAAATAATAATCATGGAGTTTTGAATAGATTGTCTTTTGATAGTTTGCATTCAAAGTTTTTTTTTTTCATTGGGATCTTATCTTGTCCTATTTTTTTTTACAAAAACTGCAATACAACAGATAAGGCTTTATTGAGTCAATCTCAAAACAATGATATTGGAGTAATAAGCGATAATCAAGAATTCGATAGTTTTTGATAAGGTTTAATGTTTGTAAAACTGTTACTTCAGAAGATTAATGAGTATAATGATAAAATGAGTTGGAATAAATAAACAGTTTAAAAAAAAACATTAAAATAGTGATTCCAGGGGAATGGAGGCAGGACAACATTTATGCCATATCTTTCTCAGTTAGTATTCATATCATACTGTACGATACATATCACTGTATGATGCCTACCTTTCCTATAATATAAAACACTATTTTGTATATTGTTTCAAAAAATCCAATGAAGTTTCTTTTTATGTATTGGCAACAAAGATTTAAGACTGGTATCAAATTAATGAATATCAAATAAATGAATAAGTCATAAACACGAACGCTGAACAGACACGTTTAAAAATTTCTCAATGAAAATTCTGATCTCACGTGGACGATTTCAAGCTTAAACCGTGAAATTATAAATCAGGCAGAATTGAGATTTATAAATTAATCAGAAATGAAAGATTAAAGGGTGGTGAGCCCTTGGTATGATGTCCATTTGGAAGCATATATAATTTTATTACATATAAAGTTGAAGAGTAGGGGAGAGTGGGGTCAATTGTAACAGGTTACGATTGTAACAGAGCAAAAATTTCGAGTGTCGGTTTCTAGATTTGGTTTCTAGGTGACGCACAAGGTGTATTTAATAAATCTACATGTGCCTACAATCCCTGCTGGCAACCATTTTTATGTACTTTTGAAAGAGTTACATCACAAAAGATATTTTCACGCTCTGGGTTAGAACATTGACCTATTGTG